AATATCAACCAGACTTAGAAAATTCTGACACATGACTCAACCTATATGAACCTTTTAGACATCATGCCATGTGAAACAAGCGAGTTAATAACCAAGTATGGTAGGGGAGGCCTGTAACCCCAGCACTCTCAAGGCTGAGGCAGGAGGATATAAAGTTCCAAGCCGGCATGGACTATAAAAAAAAAAAACAAAAAAAGGGAGGGCGTAGAGGCTATGCTGAGATGGCTCAGTGAGGTAAAGGCACTTGTGGTTAAGCCTGAGGACTCCTGGGACATAGATGGTAGAAAAAGAGGTTCCTGCAAGTTGTCTGACTTTCACATCCACACATTCACCCCCACCACTTCTTTAAAAAAAAAGAAAAGAAAAAGAATTTAATAAGCGCCTTGAGTATTTTCAAAAGCTATGCAGAAGCCGGGCATGGTGGCACAGACCTTTAATTCCAGCACTTGGAAGGCAGGGGCAGGCAGATCTCTGTGAGTTTAAGGCCAGCCTAGTCTACATAGAGAGTTCCAGGTCAGTTGGGGCTACAGGGAGGCCCTGTCTGAAAAAGACGAAAAATAAATAAATATAATAAAAATAAATGAAAAAGAACAAAGAAAAAAATCAGTATGAATTTGATAAGTTAAAATTTATACTTACTTTAAAAAGTATGAAACGATCAAGAAAGCATTTTAAACATTAAGACACACTGGATTCAAATAAATTTATATTGAGAGACAGGGTCTCCCTGTAGCTTCAGCTGGCCTCAAACTCACAAAGATCGGCGTACCTCTGCCTCCCAAGTGCTGGGATTAAAGGCACGCACCACCATGCTTGGCCCTCACTTTTTAAATTCTTAAAAATTGTATGTAAAATACATTATAATCTCTTAATTCTTCCAGTTACAGCGGTGGAAGAAAAGGTGACCAACCTCACTCCACCTAGAGGTAACACAGTGCTGTTACTCATCTGTTCATCCCTCTGTCCCGATATTTCTAGTCCTGCTGGACGTGGTGGTGCAGACCTGTCAGTCCAGCTGCTTGGAGGCTGAGGTAGGAGGATCACAGGTTAGACTACAAGCCTGCTTAGGCTACAAGGTGAGTTCAAGGCCTGCTTGGTTATCTCGCTCTTGTCTCAAAAAAAAAAAAAAAAGGGACTAGGAACGTAGATCAGAGATGGAGCCTTTGTCTAGCACGCGTAAAGTTCTAGGTTCCGTCCCTATTAGCGGAGAAAAGGAAAAACAATCTTCATGGGTAGTCACATCACGTTTCTTCCTTCACTTCCCTACCCGCCAGCCTGGCTGTCATTGTCTCCCTCCGCTGGTTACCAATAAAGTTGCTACAAAGTGACCTTGAGCTGCTTCCCCCGCCTTCTCCATCCGGGTGCTGCAACGCGGATAAGAGCCGAACCGCGCCTGCGCGCCCAGCCCCACTGCGTCGACCTCTGCCGCCGCCGCTGCCGCCGCCACCTAGGGAAGGTAAGGAGGGCGCAGAGCTGGCGGCGGGGTGCAGCGGCGTCCCCGGGGTCCGCTCTCCGTGCCGGTGCCTCACTGGGCACCGGGCCCACGCTGACGGCGTGCACGGCCCCTGGGGGCCGGGGTGGGATGGGCAGGCCCCTGGAGGGTCCTTGACCTTAAGTCTCTTTGCCTCCGCAGAGAGGAAGCGGGAGAGGAGCCCACGCCGCCTGTCACCACGTCCAGCAGCCGCCACCAGGGAAGATGTTCGCCTGCGCCAAGCTCGCCCGCACCCCCGCTCTGGTGCGTAGCCGGGGCCTTGGCCGAGCGTCCATGCTGTGGACTGGGCAGCCCGAGCACCCCGGGGACCTGCTCCCCTTCACCCCTGCCCCAGTGTCCGCCCTCCACCTCCCTCCCTCCCCTGGGGTCTCGCATGCCGCTTGTTCCTGGCCGAGGCCTGTTGGTCAGGCCCACTCGGTGTAGGTCACAGTTTCCTTGCTCCTCGTCCCCGAGCTCCCCCCTCCCCCACCTCCCCGTCTCTGTGTCGGGTTCGGGTAGATGCCAAGGTTTGGGGTACTGGGAGGAAGAGGGAGGCCTGTAAGGCCTAGTTCGCCGTCGCAGCATTCCCCATGCCTGTCTGTAGGTCAAACTCGCTGCTGCTGAGGGAGGGACTTTGCCTTACCATGAGTGGGCGGAGGAAAGTGGTGGGAGAGCGCAGAGGCCCTCTTCCTGCCTCTGGGATATTATCTCCATAAGCATTTTTGGCTTTAAGTGAAGTCTAAATCTAAAGGATTTGTTTCAGTTCTGAAGGGATTTTTCCATGACCTTAATGCACTGGACACTCAAGGGCAGAGAAGCCAGACAGCACGATGTCTGTATAGATGTGAGCATTTCACCGTTGGTTCCTAATCTGCCGTACAATTGCTTAAACTTGATAAATGGTCATATAGGAATACCTTAGAAATACTGTGAGTTTATAATAACTGCTGTCTTAAATTGACAGCATTGGTCCACATAAACTTAATGAAGAGTGTGGATGTTCACTGAATTGCAGCACAGTAGCAATTGAAATGTTCAGAGTATCACAAAAGGGTTATATTGCAAGTTTTACAATTTCACTAGCATGAAGCTTTATCAGGTTAACTTCATATAGTGAAAATGACCAAACAGCCAAGATAATAGTACAGATAAGCCTCTGGTCCATGTTTTGCTGCTTTCTCTCTTAGAATTCATGGAACAGAAACGGTCACTGGAGACTCACCTGTATTTTTAATACTTGAAATATTTTTTCTTCCATTAATAGATCCGAGCTGGATCCAGAGTTGCATATAGACCAATTTCTGCATCAGTGTTATCTCGGCCAGAGGCTAGGACTGGAGAGGTAAGAGTAATAATAATTAAAATTGGGTCACACTATCAAGTAAGCCTTACACTTTGATTATTTATAGTGGAGGGGTGCATTGATGAATGGTTTTAAGGCAGTCTGTTTCCAGTCTGATTCAAACAATATGTAGTGGATAAGCCAATGAGAGGAACTTCTGTGTCCAAAATGTAGCCTCCTGAACATGCTAATAAATGTTGTGGGTCTAGTTTTGAGTTACCTATATTTAAGATTAGAATAACCATAATTATCAAAAAAGCCTACTGTTGAAAAACATATTCATATATGCTGTTTCTTCATTATTAACAGTCCTGTAAAGTGTAGGTATTAGCTATCTTATACAAAATAGGAACTATTCTAAACTCTTGATGTTTTTTCTGTTGTACCACACAATTATTCATACTCAGCTGCGAAATAAAGTAGTTTTCATTTTGGCAGTACAGTAGTTAAAATAGCAGTGATTACTGACTTGACCTTTGCCTTTATTTCCTGTTCTCCAGGGCTCTACAGTATTTAATGGGGCCCAGAATGGTGTGTGTCAGCTGATCCGCAGGGAGTTTCAGACCAGTGCAATCAGCAGAGACATTGATACTGCTGCCAAATTTATTGGTGCAGGTGCTGCAACAGTAGGAGTTGCTGGTTCTGGTGCTGGTATTGGAACAGTCTTTGGCAGTCTTATCATTGGTTATGCCAGGTAACCACTTCTGTCCCTGAATAAGTTAAATAGCTGGAAGCTATGGCTGGAGTACTTGGACATAGAAAGGTGGCGAAATATTAGTAGCTACTTTGAATTAAGTGTCTATTGTGTGTCCTGCATTATATTTTGAGAGTTGTATGCATCATTCAATTAGTCAGAGGGATAAGGAGAATGTCAGCCAGGTGCTAGGGTACAAGCTTAGAATCCCAGCCAATCAAGAGTTAGGCAGGAGGATCACAGGTTGAGGCCACTCTCAAGAATATAAGGATCCCTCAGAATGAATGTAAACTCACCATCTATATGGGCATACAAAGACAGTTCCCTAGCTTTATATACCATATGGTTGGGAGTAGATAAGAAAGAGGAAAAGAGATCTAGGCAGCTCTTCTATAGGTTTTTCACACTAGTACTCTGATTGTCATTTACCAAAGTAACAGTCGTCTGTTGTATCTCTTGTAGAAACCCTTCACTGAAGCAGCAGCTGTTCTCATATGCTATCCTGGGATTTGCCTTGTCTGAAGCTATGGGTCTCTTTTGTTTGATGGTTGCTTTCTTGATCTTGTTTGCCATGTAACAGAAATTACTGCCTGAAATGTTGGCATTCATAGTAATTACGGATGTAATTCTGTGTATCTTACTGTGACTCCGAAAACTAGTGTTGGTGTCATGGAAATGTACGTTATTTCCAAAGTCATTTCATTAAAGATGAAAACTTTAATTTTTGCTGTGATTTGTACTTATCTAAATTTGGATCATTGCAAGGAAGATTATGCAGCGAGGCAGATGGCTGTCCTGTTCAGAGGAAGTTCTAGCAGTTAGTACAGTGATAAGAAAGCACCTAATGTGATTTTCATGGAATTACTCTATGTAGTGTTCTGCAAATTGTAATTTATGGGATTTTTGTTTCTTCATGTAAAGGAGAAATATTTTAGTCCTTTGAGCTTCTTTGAAATATGATTAATTAAACCATAGTAATTGTTCAAGATGGTTTTGTTTTTAAGGGTTAGCATGAACTAGAATACTTAGAATCACCTTCCAAGTGGACAAGTTTGCTTTTACACAGCAAGTCTCACTTTCAGCAGTTCTGTTTCGGTAGTGAATAGCCATCAGCCTTCTGAGAAGAGACCCAATGTTAACTGGCAGCTAAGTTCTTATTTGAACAACCCTCTTACTAAAAAACAGCCACCAAAAAATAAATTACAATTACAAAAAGTAAAAGCCAATAATGGCTATACTTTTTTAAGCCAAAAGTTGGTAAAACACTGCTACTGCAATGTTTATAGAAGTCCTGGGGGTGATGGTTGGTTCTACAGTATTTTACTCCTAATATTTATTGCATGTGCTTTTTGGTCAGACTTTTTCTATTAAAAGGAAGAAAGTGGTGCTATTATTAAAAAAAAAAAAAAAAACTGCATTTTTGCTGTAGCAAATAAACTACCATCAGATTGTCATCTGAACCTCAGCTTTGGTATAGAGGTCAGTGGAGGGCAGAGGCGGTAAAGAACAATCTAGAATGATACGTATGAAAATGCCAAAATGAAATCCATTACTTTGTATGCTAATTGAAAATCTTAGTTAAAAAATGAATTTCAAAATTTTTAAAGATTAAAGAGAATAAGGACATACCGGAAGGCTATGTCTCTAGAGCACTCTGCCTAGTTTGATTTCAGCTGAGAAAAAGAATTTGTAATCTGTGGTAGGATAATGTCCTCCATGAAAATCACCTTGATGCTTGTTTAAGAATCCCTAGTCTCCTGACCGAAAATGAGAATCTTTGGCCATGAAACAGCAATCTGCATTTTGAAACAGGTTTCCCAGGTAAATTTTGTGCATAATGTTTGAGAATTGCTACTTCTTCTGGATATATATTGAAAATAATTTTTTTTTTTTTTTGGTCTTTTTGAGACAGGGTCTCCCTGTAGCCCCAGATGGCCTAGAACTCACTATGTATACCAGGCTGGCCTCGAATTCACAGAGATCCACTAGCCTCTGCCTCCCAAGAGGTGGGATTAAAGCACTTGAAAGCAAGTAACTAAAAACAAATGTTTATAATAGCCCAAAAGTGAAAACAACAACTAGTGAATAGATAAATGTATTCTGGCCATAGAATGGAATTTTAATTCAGCCACTAAAAGGAATGAAGGCAGGCATGGTGATGAATATCTGCAATTCCTGGCACTCAGGACACTGAGGCAGGAGTATTACCACAGGTACTAATACATGGTAAACATGGGTGAATCTTGAAAAATGTTAAGTGAAATAAGCCAGACACAAGAGGCCACATATGGTTCTGTTTTCACAAAATAGGTAAGTTCATAGAGACAGCCAAGTAGAGGTTACTAGGGACTCTAAGGGGAAAGGAAAAAGTGACTGCTTAATGGGTGTGGGGTTTCCTTTTGAGTAAATGAAAATGTACTGGCATTAAAAAGTGGTGGTTAGGCTGGGCGTGGTGGCACATGCCTTTAATCCCGGCACTTGGGAGGCAGAGGCAGGCAGATCTTTTTGAGTTTCAGGCCAGCCTGGTCTACATAGTGAGTTCCAGGACAGCTGGGGCTACAAGGAGACCATCTCAAAAAGATTTAAAAAAAAAAAAAAAGTGGTTGAACAAGATTGTAAATGTACTAAGTCATCAAATTGTACACTTTAAAATGGTTGACAAGGCAAATTTACATGGATTTATTATAATTAAGTGCCTATACTATGTAACAAAATAGTCAAATAACAAACATTTTTAAGTCATAGGGAAATACATTAATCTGCTCAAAGTTCATTCTAAATAAATGAGTTGGTAAAGACTTGTAATGCTGATTTGATGGTCAAAGCACGTGAAGCAGTGATGCTGGAAGAAGAGATGCCCCACCTGAGGAGATCCCAAGTATGGAAAAGAAATCCCTGAGCAATGGGTTCATGATCTTCAGGCCACTGAGCCAAAAGTCTTTAGAAAACCACAACTCAGAACTATTATTTTACCCAGAGGGAAGAAACACCAAAGGTCCAGTGTCCTGGAATGCACCCTTCTACTTATTTGTATTTCTTGTAACAGAATTCTAATTGAAAGTTGGGCTGGAGAGATGGATGGCTTAGCAGTTAAGAGCACTGGCTGTTCTTACAGAAGGCCCAGGTTTGAATTTCCAGCACTCATGTGGTGGCTAACAACCTACCATGATTCCAGTTCCAGGGGAATCCAGTACCCTCTTCTGGCCTCTGCAGGCTTTGTACCACACAGGTGCACTTAACATGTATGCCGGCAATACATGCTGTTGGGCAAAGGCTCTACAACTGAGCTACAATCCCATCCCTGGAATTATTCTGTTGGAATATACCAGCTGCATCAGGAGAAATGTTTATTCACAATTTTGTTTATTGAGATAGGACTCACTAGTTAACCCAGGCTGGTCTCAAACCCATGTGCTCTTGCCTCAGCTTCCCAACTGCTGCAATTACAGGTGTATGCCACTATGCTTTGCTCCTTTCAATACTGGAGGTTGGACATACACACATGCTTGGCAAGTGTTCCACCACAAAGCTACATCCCCAGCTGTGTATCACTTTTTTTTTTTTTCTTTTTTTTGGTTTGAGACAGGGTTTCCCTGTAGTCCCAGCTGGCCTGGAACTCGCTGTGTAGACCAGACTGGCCTCAAACTCACTGAGATCCACCTGCCTCTGCAGAACTCCTGAGTGCTGGGAACAAAGGTGGGCACCACCATGCCCAGCTATGTATTACTTTTAACAAGCACCACCTCCCCTACTTTATGAGCTTTGTGAATAAATACTGATGGCAAATACTTTTTATATCTTAGCTTCTGAACAGAGGTCAGTACAGATGTTTTTCATACCAACCAAATATGAAGCATTTTCTGTTGATAATTCTAGACTTATTTAAAAGTAAGCAAGAGCCCCCTAGAGCAAGAGAATGTCAATTCAACCATATTTATTTAGAATGTTCTTTGAAGCATTGTACATTGTTTTTTAAAAAAAGATTTTACTTTTAATCCTGTGTCTGTATGGGGACATGTGGAGGTACATGCCCAAGGAGGCCAGAGGTATCAGGTACCCTGGAGCAGGAGCCACAGGTAGGTTCTGAGACTCGAACTCAGGTCCTCTGGAACAGCAGCATGCACTCCCAACCATTAATCCATATCTCCAGTCCCAAGGCATTGTAGATTTTTAATCTTGCTTTTTATTTGGTATTAGGTTGTTAGTTTAATAGAGAATTGTGAGGGTTTGGTTGGTTGTTTGTTTTTCAGAGTTAGAGACCAAATCCAGGGCCTTGTGCATTTTAGGCAAGTATGCCACTGTTGAGTTTTACGACTGCCCAGAAATATATTTTTAATGCTTTTAACGATAAACTCAGTATTGGTTTGAGTGAAATTAACTTTGAACTAATGGGAAACTTGTCATCTAGACACAAACACTAGAGACATGCAAGTAAAATTTAAAACCATATGGTGAATTTCTCAAAAGTGTCATAAAAGGTGAAATGTTAGGAAGGAGAAGAAATAATTTTCTTATGAAGAGATCACATGAAAAAAATGCCACTTGCCTACATTTTAAGATAAATCTTGAGCCAGCATAATGACAACAGTCCAGAAAAGGAAGGTGTGTTGGCTAGTGAATAGCACGAGGACAGGTAAGTCACCAAAGCCCTGATAACATTTAAAAAAGTTGTCCGGATACAGGAGGGAAATAACCTAGAGCTAAAAGGTAGACTGGGGGGAAAAAATCATATAAACTGGCAGATGGGCGTTTTTTCATGTGATCACAGGCAGCCATTCAAAATTCTAAGCCATGTTTTAGAAAGGTTAATAAGCAGACCTGTGTGGGATAACCTGAAGTCAGCAGTACCGATATTACTATAGCAAATCTGCGGAAGTTAATGATAAAGATGGCCTTGTCTAGGATGGTGGCGATGATTAAAGAATCTCCAAAAGTAGCTTTGGGATTTGCTATCTAAATCTCCAGAACCAATCAGGATGCACAGTCCCTTTCTAATGAGTAGTGCTCTGTGCTACAGGCTTCATATCCACACTGTCAGCACTCATGACAAGCCTGCAAAATTGGGGTTAGTTTTCAAAATGCAAAGAAAAACTCAAAAGAATTTAATTCCCCGAATTATATAGCCATTATTTGGCAATGCCAGGATTCAAATTCAGATTTTCCTTGATTTCAAAGCTCATACATTGATTTACAATGCTACTATGTTAGGGCTGACAAGGAAAAAAAAACTGATTTGGGGAAATAATTTTGAGTTTTATATATTTTAAAATATGAGATAGAATCTTACAAACACACTTGGGAAGGCTGTACTGAGAGCAAAGATAGGTTGTGCCTAAAAGCTAAATAAAAAAGGTCAGGGGCTGGAGAGATGGCTCAGCAGTTAAGAACACTGACTGTTCTTGTAGAAGACCAGGGTTTGAATCCCAGCACCCACATGTCAGCTAACAACTGTCCCTAACTCCAGTTCCAGGGGATTCGACAGCCTCTTCTGTCTCCTGTGGGCACTGCACAACACGGGTGCAGTTATCTACATGCAGGCAATACACACATACACATAAAATAAAAATAATAAATATTTAAATGACATTAAAAATAACAAATTTTTCAAAAAAAAAAAAAAAAAACGTCAGCGCACAGGGCCTGAGCGATGGCTCAGTTAAGAGGGTATACTGCTCTTGCAGAGGACTCAAGGTCAATTCCCAGCATCCAGGTCTGGTGGCT